GCGGTCATTATATTCATATAACGTGAAATATCCATAAAAGTCGTTAGCCATGACTTAATCAGGAGTTGTTGGTTTACTCAATGATAGAAAAAGAGGTCACTTAAGGAAAACTGTAAATGCCATTAGGAGCACTAAGAGGAGCGAGACGAAGCTGATTTTTTCACAGAGTATCTGTCTCATGTTCTACTGTCAGGATGTAGTTAAAGTTTCAGCAAATATGACAAAAACGTATCTTCGTAAAAGTTACGTACTGCAGCTTTAAATCGTTTGGAAAAGAAGTGCACAAATTGAAGAAGCTATCATGACTTTTTACACTTCCTCTACCCTTTTTACTTCATTGTGCTTTTATGAGTTCTTTCTCGATGACATCCCGAATCCCACAGAAACAAGATCACCAGATGAAATCAATGGAACAGAATGAGGGATGAGAGGATTTTAAGCCCACATAATATAAAGTGTTACATCGTCTGGCTTACTTTTGACAGCTCCGCGGAGGAAGAAAATAGCTTGTGTCTGCTTTCCAGGGAAGTGCCAACAGATTGTCAAGAAGACCAATACGTTGTCCAAATAGATAAAATGTCAAGTGAATAACAAACCAAAAAACATCTCTTGCCATTAACTTGACGCGTTTCATTTCTGAAAATTAAGCCTGTGATAGATATAAATAACAGCCAGTCATCCTCCTTAAGGAGCCACAGAGCCTTTTGTTCCCTCGCTGTGCCGACTCGGAGTCGCTCCATTAAAAGATGACTTCCCCCGGTGACCCTCTGACACCAGTGTGTGTGCACAAAAAAATGTTTTTCTGGCTATTTGAGCTATTACAGGCTGAATCATTTCAAGACTTCAGAAGACCAGAAAAGTGTTTCTGCAACCAAAAATCATCCTGTGAAATGTTCAATCGGTGGTTTCCAACCTGCAGGTCACCAAAGCTTCACAGGAGGTTTTCTTGATTTTAAGGCGTTTAAGAAAACTGTTTTTTGCTCCTGCCACCCCAGGGCTAAGGCAGCTAAAGTTAACAGCATCTAACATTACTGTTAGCGACAGTTAGCTTCTTTTAGCAACAAGTCCATCTGGAAACTCCCATAAATCACCTCGGTACCGCTGTCGTCAAATCTGTCCTCTGTCTGTCTCTGAGGTTGTTTTCACTGGGAGGCTGCTGAGCCCCGTTCAGTTGCTAACACTAACTGCAGCTACATTAACAGTTAGTTGAGGCAGACGTTGGAGGAAAAACCAGAGAATATTCTCTCCATAAAATATGATCCAGTTTCAACCAAATCTCTGATAAAGTTGTGTTTGTACAGTAATCAGTGAGCTCCGCTAGCTAACTAATGAATCTTCGCTCTGTGTCGCTGAAAGTTGAAGATTGATTGACAAAATGATATAAAATACAAAGAAATGTTGTTTTTGTAATTGTTGGCATAAATTGTTAAATATGGGAACAATATGACTGAGGATGTTAACGTAACTTATAAAACCTGAACACAAACTGTATTCATTCTCTGATAAACAGCCTCGTCCTGCATTAGAAACACTGAATTTGTTACAAAAGAAGCTTATAAAGTTTATATGAGTGTTAAGTATTAAAAAAATACGTAATACAGTCAGAGGATTGTGTAAAAAGTTTCAAAAAATATCAGGAAAACTCATCTCTGATCAATATTCAAAGGGAATGAGCTGCTCAGAATTAGTGTGTGAACATTAGTTTATGAGTTGTTCTGCATGTCACGTGTCACTTCCCTCAAAAGGTTGGGAACCACTGCCTTAAATCACAGAGCAAACCCTCCCCGGTTGACTCAAATATCCTGTAACTCCTCCTGTGTTTTCTATGAGTCACGCAGTTGATTCAAGACGGGCCGTGGGTGATAATTATTTTCCTGGTTTTTGTGCGGTGGTGTTGTAGAGGAAAGAACTTCTCCAGAAGTGGTTATCAACTGAAGCATCATGAGTCATCAGCCTGTTAGTGTAAAAACGCGCATGTGAACACATAAAGTCTGAACGCTGCATCTGCCGCATCCTCCCTCGTCCCCGAATCTCTCACCGAACGCTCCTCTGAACACTCGAAGTGAGTGCAGTGTGCAATCAATCAGTGTCGTTAAACTGTTTCCTCTGTGTGTGTGTGTGTGTGTGTGTGTGTGCGTGTGCGGCAGTAAATCCTCTGGCAGCGTGAATCTGTCATGTGTCAGAACGTGTTGTCATAAGCAGATATATCTCCTGCACCGAACAAAAAAAGAGGAGCCACCAGGCGGAGAGTGTTTTTTTTTTTTTTTTAACAAAATGTCTGTTATTGAGGATTCATTTGAAAATCCTGACATACAACAAGTTGTGTACACAATCAATGCAGCGTTCGTTTGTGATTAATGGCGTCAGATTTTATACAATATTCAGATTACAGTTGACTGGATGATGTTGAACAGAATTTTTATACATCTATGTTTCCTTTCCCCCAGAAAACAAGGAGATAACAAGAAAAATAACATTTCTATAAAAAGAATTATGTAATAAATATATGCTTTTCTAAATACAGTTTTATGGCACAAAACGTATTATTTGATTATCAAAGCTCTCCGTTCTTGTTCAGCACAAATGGGTCATAAGTTGTTCGTTGATTTCAAACGGTGGAACTCGAAACAAACGTCTCATTTCTAGCCGGTGGGTTATCGATTGTCCCAGCTGAAATAACAACTGTTATTATCCGCTACTTAATTAAGCCAGCAAACTTGCAAAAATAGCTAAATTGGTTACAAACGGGCTTTTGAACATGAATTACGAGGCACATCAAATGCTCCCTGTCTGAAAAGACCTTTACATGTTTCCAGTTTACTTTTTTTCAAATTAGAAATATCTTAAATTTGAAGGCTGCATTTCCTCCATTAGGGGTTTTCATGCAACAATAGATGCACAATGGGGCCCCAATTTAAGAGGAGTTTGTGGTAAGGCGTCCTCTCTGCTTCATTTCTTTTAATTTCTGTTTAAAAATAATGAGAATTTGTCAATTAATGCTCAAACTAGGATAAAATTACAACAGCTCACGTTGGCACAAAACACATTTAGAAGTCTATGTGATGTCCTTGGAGCACTTTTGGGGCAGGAGTCCTGTTAAAAATGGCTTTTAAAACTGTATTCTTCCTTTTTCTGGGTTGAAAAACTGAAAATATTTTGATTTTCGTGTTTAATTCAGCCCGAACCTTTTGCACTATTTATATTTAATTTCCACTTGTACAGTTTACTTTTAAGCAAGTTTAATTTTCTGCTCATATATTTGCACTCCATGTCCTACTTGAACAATGCATAGTGTATATACTTTCATTTATAGTTTTATATCTTCTATTATATTTTGTATTTTGTAATATTTTACTACTTTGCCTTATTGCTGCTGTGTCAACCTGAATTTCTCCAAAGGGGGATCAATAAAGAAATATCTTCTCTTATCTTAAACTGCCACAAAACCTTGTCGTTGGAGCACTTTTTAAAGAGACAGCTTCTAAAACTGCCAGAGACAGAAGTACTAATATCTCTGATGTGTTAGAAGCTATGTTTGACTCCTTCCTACAAAAAACTAGAGACATATTTAAATAATTGTAAGATACAACCGAGTTTGTTGAGGAAGTAAAGCAACATACTTCACCTGTGGAGAAAATATTGTCCTCCTTTTTCTGGGGACCCTCTAAAACCCACTCGAGGACCCCCTGCTGGTCCCCGGACCCCAGTTTGAAATGCTAACAGTGTGAGGCTAAAGCTGTGTGTCAGAGATGGATGCTAGCACGATCAGAGTCTGACATGTTTCCTATTTTTATTTAATAATCCTGTTTGGCTGCTTCTCCTCACACACCCGGACAAGCAGGACGGGAGTTCAAGATTTATGTCTCATTGTTTGTAGTTTGGAGGAAAATGTTTCACTCCTGACGTTAAAAGAGAAAAAAGGGGTTTTCAGATGACGACGAACCGACGTTAAATGCTATCTCTGCTAACGTTTGACAGGGGTTGCTGGAGCGTAAACGTCCCCAAATCTTAACATTAATGGCGATCACGCAGTGTTACCTAAATGTGATGAAGAGATGATGTGTTTTCAGAAGTGCAGTCGTTTGAGTGGATCTTACTGTCTTTTTTTTTTCCAGAGTCGGAACCGAATAAATGCTTTTGGACAGACCTTTCTTTATAAGTTCGGTGTTTGAAGTTGTGTCAAACAGCAGTATTTGTGTCTCTAGGATCAATTAACATAATCATGATTACATACAGGCTCATCAATGCTGAGTAGAGGTTTGATTGGGTCCAAAAAATCCGCCACCAAAAATTACGTGTGAGCCGAAACAAACCCAAACCACGGAGGCGGTTTTTGGGCCCGAGTCTGACCCAAACCTGAGTTTCCTCTAAGTCAGTTGAAGTTGCTAACGCTTACCGCAGCTATATTCTCTTTATTCTCTCCATAAAATATGATCCAGTTTCACCCAAATCACTGATAAAGTTGTGTTTGTGTCACTAAAAGTTGAAGATTGATTGAGATTATCGGTTGAAATCAGTTAGTTCATGCTTACGTAAGCACATAAATGATTAGACTTTGATATAAAAATATCTTAAAATGACATTTTTAATTTCACCCGAGCTTTAAATTAGAGAAGATAAACACAGTTTAATCCAGTTCTTCCTAAACACAAAGACATGACTCTCTCAACTCTCTCTCTTTCAGCTCCAAACACAAATCCAAACACCGGCTTGCTTTTCGCCTATTTACGGTCACTAAACTGTGATTGGACAATCGCTGCTCGCTGGCTTAACAAACGGTAAATTCCCAGCTGACAAATGTTCCAATTATATCACATTTAGCCTTCACCATTTGGCACATGGCACACTATTTGTGTGAACAACATGGAGCTGATGACTATTTATATCCAGGAACCTTAATTGGGTTTTGTTTCTTTCCTGGAAGTTAACATAAAAGTTCAGTCGAGTATATATATTGTATTACGTCACGGGAACGGTCACACACAGTCACAGGAGGAGGATGAAAAGAAGTTACCATCAGGGTTTTAATCACTAAGGCAAAAACCCAGACACATATCAGTCAGTGTTGCCTTCGGCGCTCTTCTGTTTCAACCACCTACGCAGCCCGCCTCGATACAGCAGACGGTTGTTTGTGTTGATCTCACTGATCTCGATGAACGACACCGTTACCGGTCATTTACCACAGTTTATTTACCATATATTATAATGTAACATCTTGTAAAAAGCACACACACATGTAGATATATGAGTGCACAATCAGATAACTGGTCGAAGAACACATTTTTAAAAACAAAAAAAGAAACCCATTAACTACAAGAGTGATTTAAATGGATGACGAAAAGCAAATATTCTCTAACTCCCGGTGCACCAAAAGATCTGTGCTGTTTATTTTTCATCTGTTTATCTCTCTGATGGATTAAATTAATTATAACGTGATAAACATCACAAATCATTCAGGAAATCAAAAGTCACCATGTAAATTATACTTACTGCCGGCGAGATGTGTAGGCTGTACATTTTATGTGACAATTATTGTCCGTTATTTTCGGTGTCTCGTGTTGGGTGATCTCATTTGTTGGGGCTCATTTCTTCAGATGAAAAACGCTACGGGGACCTCGGTTAGAGAGAGAGACCGCTGTGGAAGCCCATTCCCGCCAATGTGTGTGTGTGTGGGGGGGGGGGGGTTCTGTAAGTCATTATAGTGAGAAAGTTTCTCCAAATATTGACTTAATATCTCAAAAGAATGACTTAATATCTCAGAATATTGAGTTTCTCAATATTTTTAGTTAATATCTCAAAAATAATGACTTAATATCTCAGAATAATTAGAAACTTTCTCATTATTTTTAGTTAATATCTCAGAATAATTAGGACGTTCTCAATATTTTGACTTTATATCTGAAAAATAATGTTTTAATAACAATTTTTTGAAAGTTTTTGAATTAGTAAAATATTGACAATTTTGAGATAGTTTCTCATTAAAATGACTTAGTATCTCAAAATAATAATTATTCTGAGTCATTTTTTTAGACAGTTTCTCATAATGACTTATTATGTAAAAATAATGAGAATGTTTCTCAATATTTTGACTTAATATTTCAAAATAGTGACTATTGTGAGATGTTAAGTCATTATTTTGAGACAGTTTCTCATTATAATGACTTACAGGATCCCTTTTCCCCGTCACACTGGTGGAAATGAGCTTCCATAGACCGATGAACTCTGACTGACAGCGTGATCAAAAAAAAAAGCAGCAGAAAACCTTTGAGCTTGGCTGATCTTTCATTTGTTCTGCTACTCAGTTGCTTATCGTGCTGCTTCTTCCCTCCGCCCTGTTTACGGCGTCTGATTACCCGACGCAGCAGAGAGGTGCCCGGATGAGGAGAAGTCGAGGAAATATGTTTTAATAAGATTAACAAATCATTAAATTATTAGCCTTAATACCCCCTCGAGAGGCAGAGAACGTGGAAAGTCATGCTGCTGTTCAGCCTCCTTTGCTAATTGAGGACACTGAGGGTCAGGCAGGTCAGAAGCTCACTAATCAATACCGCTGCACCCCTCTATTTCCACTGAGAAATATTTTCCATTTTCATTACCCGGGGTCCGGGATGCTCTGCAGTAGATTAATTGTCTCCTTTTGCTTCTTAACCAGTCCTCAGTTCCCCTCCCACACACACACACACACACACAAGCCTTCCTTTTCATCTGAGTGGTCCACGTTTAGTAATTTGGACACAGAGCCTCACGGTGTCCCCAGCTCACTGGTGGAGGGAGTGGGTCTGGGGGCAAGGCGGCGCAGGCTCGGAGGGGAGGGCAGCCGTTAGGCCCGGGTGGTACTTGGCTGGCCTCGGACCTCCCAGCGCCTGAGTTGGGGGCTCCATGCCCATGTTGAGGTGCAGTGACAGGTGGGCGTGGCAGTAATCCAGAACCGACTGCTCACACCGGTACAACGTCAGAGCACTCAGCTGCCGCGGTATCTGGACAGGAAGCAGGAAAAAAAAGGAGAAACCACAAGTAAATCTTCTAAATCAGCCACACAAACAAAAAAAAGCCTCCGTTTGCGACATTTCATCCACTCTCAGAATATCTTGGAATTGGCTTAATTTACTTCATGCAGTCGTGGCAGCGTGCTGTCATTAATGCAAGCCTTGGCCGCTGATACAGTGCGCGCCCCAAGACCTGGAATCTGTGGTGCTCAAACACCCACTTTCTAGCTGGAGTGATTTATATGCAAGATGAAAGCCTTAAGCAAGAGTGCACACATATTTTCTGCCCTCCTTTAAATGGAGTCAAGGCTCCATTTAGAAGAGAGTGCTTATTACATTACAAGCACTTTGCTGATTCAAAGACCCCTCTTTAGTTTTTCGTGCTACTGTGGTCTGAATTATGTCAATTAAGCCGCATCAGGGTGTGTGATATAGATATTAATATCCTAATGACTATTAATGCCTTCACGCAAAATATGGATGCACTCACGTATCTTCAAATGCACAAAGCAACATAACACAGAAGCATTCATGTAGGTCTGTTAATGCACATGCAGCACTAGAATGCGTTACGGTAAAGGTGACCTCCGCGTGGAGAAGTATGTTCAGCATTTTAACATTAACGCAGTATAATGCAGCTTAATGAATGTAAGAGCTAATATTAGCATCAGTTCTAATGTGAACATAAGCTGCAGCGTTCAAAGAGAGATCACAGATCACGAGAACCGATACTTCGGTACCACGTCGATGCCAAAGTTGTTGTTGTCCTGCTTCGGACCTTTGGTCTCACTAAATATTATAATTAGTCTCAGCCGAGTTTAGAAATATATGTTATTGTTATTCTGAAGTAACTTCCTCCTTGAATTCCTCCTGTAACGTGAGGTACAGAAATGAGACTCAAAGATGAATTTTAGATGTTATTTTGCTGTTTTGAAACATTGGTTGTTTACATTTATTGTTTTGGTGACAGTATTGTTTTTGTTTACACTGTAGGCTGCTTTGTTTATTGTTTTCATATGTTGAATCAGAATTTTCTATTTTCCTGTTTTTATTGACACTGACTTTTTAATTGTTTGTTTTTTGTTGTTGTTGTTGTTTTTGTGTAGTGACCACTGTGTGGAATTTAAGAATAAAAATAAAGATAGTTTACACTATCGGTATTTTCTTTTTGAGAAAGAAAATACCGAGCGGCGGTATTTTCTTTTTGAGAAAGAAAATACCGAGCGGCAAAGAAGAGACCAGAAAACACGACAGAAAGTGTCCAACATTCGTGTCCTTTCAAAGAAACGAAACTAAAACTCCATACAGAATATCTGTTTACTATTGCTATATTGCTACTATTGCTTTAATTTCTCATCCAATTAATCGATGGTATAATTGGTAGAATACTCCATTACTTAATCAATCGATAGCTGCAGCACTAATTGGTATCGACTACCGTTCCTGCTACCGTGACGTCCCTACTTCCACACCATGAGCTGTGGGCAGAACACATATTATAAAATATGTTGTCTTGGATTATTTTATTGGATCACAAAAGGATTTACTTAAAGCTGATTTGATGCAGAAATGGCTTTCAGAAAGATTTCCTCTGTATCAGGTCTAGGTCAGGGTTTGTTCGCAGCGCTGTCACCGTTCAGACCCTTAAATTTAAAATCACAGCTTTCAGAAAGGTTATGTTTCCCTATCCGGAAACGATCTGTCTCTGTTTGCTCTCCGCTTTAATAGGAAGATTAGTTGGAAACACTCTATTGTCAAATTCAACAGCTGAACTTTGCACGCTTCTTCAGAGGACTTAATAAAAAATTCACAAACAACAATGCTCCGAATGCAAAATGAGCTGAGCGTGAGTGGAGGGGGGGGCTGGGATCTGGATCTGGGACTGCAAATTACCAAGGGGAACGGCTACATTGTGGACTTGTTTTCTCCAATTATTGCGGTAGTAAAAAGCCAAACATGTAAGCGGTGGAGTGGTTGAGCCGACCTCTCTGTGTACAGAGCTCTTGTTTCTACAGCATGTCTCCTCTGTTTAACCGAAATCCACCAGGTGCCATAAAATAAACAGAGCCGCAGTTACTGAGACAATAAAAGCCTTGTCTTTTTTTTTTGTTGTTGCCGTACCTCTACAGATCTGTAATAAATACACCTTTTAGAAAGCCATAGCGCCATTATTATATAGGTCACCTCGCTATTAACGGTGTGAACAGTCCAGACTTGAAAGCTTCTCATGACCTCTTAAACCACTGGTTCCTCCAGGGACCCTTTTTCTATCATTCAGTAAACTGACGACGCCTCCTTAAGTGACATTATTCATAGATATTTCATATTACATTCAAAACTGTACAATGAAACCAAACAGTGAACTCAGTAGCAGCAGGATGTTTGTGTAACACCAGAGATTTGGATGAATTTGAGCAGATTATTTTTCTGTTTAGGGAACTTTTTATACAATTCTCTGTCTGTATTATGGATTTTTTGTTATATTTAATAATTGTATAGACTTAATAATCTTATTTTTTGACAAATCCAGTCAACAGCCATGTGAGGCTTCAGTTGCCATTGAATACTAATGCTACCATGCTCACAATGACAATGCTAACATGTTTAGCAGCTACAATCTTATTTCAGTGTGTTAGTATGCGAACATTTAACGCTAAATCAATCAGGAGTGTCTTCTTGACTCTTGGCCATTGTTCTATTAGACAACTTTACTGTACTTTACATTTACTTTTCTTCACAGGAGTGAACCAGTTGCTGAAATATAGGCCTACTGGGAATATTTTCCCAGTTTTCTCGTGAAGCTTTGGCAGATATGTGTCTTTGTTTAAATCTAAAATAGCACTTTGGGTCTTTGAAGGTGTTTGCGTCATTCAAAATAATCAGAAGAGAATATGAAACGGCACTGCAAAGCTTTGAGGTTGTTTGCTGTGTCAGTTTTTATCTGCTGTGCTTAAAAACATTAAGTATATCCTGCTCGCCATCACTGTGCAGATTGATTTAAACCTTCTCGACACAAGCGGCTCCTCATTTTTTATCATTATGTTCAGTCTGCGGCAAATGCATCAACGTCGAGGTTTCCTTCTGTTTTGCAATTTACTGTCTGGAATTGGACTCTTTTAAACTCAAGAGTAAAAAAAGTGCTTTATATATGCTAACACTCGCTGATGACACGGCAGAGGCACCGAATTGTGCCAATGTCGAACTCATTTCTCCCAGCGTGATGCAACACGTGTGGTCGGACTTTGTGCTGCAACGTTGTGACATCTCGAGGCACTTCCAAAGCAAAAGAAAAACTAAAATAGCACGTATGTAAATGTGTTTCTAACGTGGATTTGTATGCTACCGATCAAAGAGCACACACTACCCCCCCACAGCAAGTTTGGTGTTAAAAAAAACAACCCCACACTGTATCACAACCCTTTTGTGTTTTTTATTGCCTCCTCCTCCTCAAACACTTGCCTTTTTCAGCACTTTGCCTGAACTGTCACCTTCTGTAGCTTACATAAAGTGCACTCTCAGCCTGCAGTTCACTACACTACACTCACATTTGTATTCACATGGAGCCCTGTGCCATGAAAATAAATTATAATTTCTTTTTGTTTTGTTTTTTTGTGATACAGCTGCAGCTTTTCTCTCCAAGTAGAGATGAAACATTTGAGCCCATATGACTTGTTCCAGATCAGCCCTCTAAAGGCATCAATACTGTACAGTTTATTACATGAATTCATTACAGCAGTAAGAGACAGACAGAAACATCCCTTTACTTGCAGCTCTTCAACACTTGAGAATCAGTAAAACAGTGACAGTTAACGCTAAATGAAGCAGAAAAGTGCCAAAAACCTGCAGTTCCTCTAATGGCCACTAGAGGCTGGCTCCAGCAGTGAGTCAGTCTCCATCTCATATTAAAATGTCTTTACAAAAGAAATAAACATGTTTACAGCCTTTTGGTCTCTGTAGCTAATTGGGGTGAATCTTCATATAACTCACCTAGTTAAATAATATTAAAGCTTAACGTTGTGCTTAATTAAGGGCGTGTCTGGTTTAAGTGACCATTTTTGGATTAGCCGGGAGCCGGTAGAGTCAGTACTGCCAAGATCCACACTGAGACTCAGTCCGTATTTCAAGCAGTCTATGCACGAAACGCAAAGTAGAGCTGAGGCTGATGGGAATTAATTCTGCAGGTATTTGATAATACAACACAATTTTTGAGCTAACAATGGTGAAGTCAGAGCTCACCAGATGAATATCTATAGAACATTATAGACCTGAAGAAGCACAGACACGACTGATTAATGTGCTTTAAGATGTTATATCCAAAATGAAGCCACTGCTTGAATATTCTGGGTGGTAATTGCTTTTAAAAAAAACCCCAAAGATCACATTTTAATTCCTACAACATAATGTGTTTCAATTAGCCGACCAATTATATATGTTTTTTCTGTGTTGTTAAAGATATCAAACAGCTTTTCTGAATCGGCGTCAGTCTCTCCGGAGAAGAGCATCCGCTAATGACTAAAACAAAAAAATGTCAAAACAAAGTGAATTAACTTAATGTCAGCTCTCTCCGTGAGTGCGAAGAAGCCTCGATGCAGTTCAGAGTCATTAAATGGGAATGAATGTTGTTTCATATATTTTGACAGTGCATCTCGCGGGTCAACAAACCTTTCATTTCATACACAGCGAGCAGCCTTTTTCCCAGTTCCTCCCCCGAGTGAGAGCACGTTTAAAGATCTGCATTTCTGAACAAGAAAACAGGATCATGTCTTAGCACAGAAGAGGAGAATAAAAAGGCTTTTTGGCCAACCGAGCAGAGTGAGCATTCAGGTTTAATCAGGAATATTGGGGGAAATGTTGGCTGTTATGGTTGGAGCTCTTAGAGAGGTGAGTCATTGGCTAGCAGAGCTTGGACAGCTGCCAGCGGAGCTGCTTAAGGCTGAACGCCGCAGACGTCGTCGAGATTTTACCTCGAGGCGTGATCGCCATCTCCCCTC